TGAGATGTGTCTGGCCAAAATGGTGAAACCCCGCCTCTACTGAAAATATAAAAATTACCCAGGCATGGTGGTACATGCCTGTAATCTCAGCTACTCAGAAGGCTGAGGCAGGAGAATCACTTGAACAGAGGAAGCAAAGGTTGCAGTGAGCCAAGATTGCACCATTGCACTCCAGCCTGGACGACAATATCAAAACCCATCACACTCACACACACACACAGGCATAAACCACAGCCACAGGGGAAAGGGGAAAGCTATTAAGTGTAAAGGGCTTCACTAGAAAGGTATGGCCCAGCAGTTGATTCTCAGGAGCTCATTTCTCTAGCATCGTACCTGTTACTTCATTTATTTTGTGCATGTTCCTAAGGAAAAGTAGCTTTTCAGAGAACATACTACCTATATCTCTTTCTTAATAACTTCACAAACCTTAATCTAATCTCTGCCAAATTTGATAAAATCTTAACTCTTTCCTGAATATATAAAGAAACACATTCCCAAGTTAACTTCCGAAAGAATTAAGCAGCATTGGTCAGCCCAAATTTCTTCCAACAGTTTTAGTCTCCCAGATCTTAAAAACTGGCCATTTTGCATGCTAACTGACACTCCTTGCTTTATCTCTTTCACCATTCATTTTCTAAACCTTAGCATTATGTTTTCCACTGGAACTAATACACAGGGAAAAGAAAACTTTGAGGGTCACATCTAATCTTCTACTTGCCAAATACTCACAAAATGGCCTTTTCTCTGCCCCCATTTTCACCCAATCTGCTAAGGCAATTTAATAGAATCAGCTATCACTACATCTTGACAAACCTGCTTCTATCATGACCCTTTTCTGAATGTCTCTGCTCTGTCTGCTAGCCTGCCTGTGTTTTCTATATGTTTCCCTCAAATATAGGTATTCTTAAGTTTTTATCCTTGTCTGCCATCCTGTAAAATGCCACCTTTTTCAATGAGCCCAATTAGTGCTACGATTTCAATCATCACCACAAGTTTGACTCCGTTCCTAACTTCTGCAGAGCTATGACCGATATTTCCAACTACCTTTTAGATTCTTTGAATATTGGCTGCTCAAATTCTAATACTGAGTTCATCATATGACCTTCCCTTTCCCAAACATGCTCTTGTTCCTAACTTTCCATTTTGTTTAGTTATTCTTTTAGTCACCCAGGTTTGAATCCTAGGAATCATCTTTGATTTTTCTCTCACTAATCACTGCACAAAATTCATTAGCAAATTATCTTGATTCTTCACATGAAGTGGCTCTCAATTATATCCTTTCCTCCACCTCCCAGGACCACTACCAACCTATCCTTGGCCCTGAACTTCTGACTCTGATTCCTAACAAGCTCTCCAACTCTGGCGTTTCTCCACATTGCCTCACCTGGTACATCTGCACATGCATGCTCACACATGTATGCATTTCCATCAACATCCATTCCTAGCTCAGAGCTTCCATGTTGTTATTCCAAAGTTATAAAGTCCCTCCAAGAGCTAACAAACACGCAAGCTTTCCATAAGACTTTAAGACCCCTACAACCTGAACCTGATATTTCCACATTTTCATTGTTGACCAACTAGCAAAATGGCCCATTTAAAGTTTCCTCAGATAAAATTGGATAACCTGCCAAACACCTCATTCACTTTTGCTTGATTATCCTCTTCCAATAAAATTATATTCGTTGTCCAATATCTACATTTTTACCTCCAAGATGCTTTCCATATACCTGTGAAACTATATAGACTTTGTTTTTATTAAACCATATGAAAATAACAATATTCAACCAGTTTTGATGCATAAAAAAGTGAATTTTACATGGTTGCATCTAATATACTACCTGATTATTTGGTGTTATAGAAATTTGCCTTCTCATATGATCTTGGACATATCACTTAATCCCTTTAATTCTTAATTTTCTTACTTGAAAATATGGTCTAATTGGGTTGGCTATACCTGTCCCCTAGGATTTTTCAATGTGCAGAAAATAGGTATGAGAGCATAAAGGGTAACAGCAGCATGTATGTTAGATTTGAGCATCTTAATGGTGAATCCCTGTGTCATGTTCCAGGAATAATTCTTCAGATGCCCCATGAGGAACATAATGGTATTCAAGTAACAATTAAATGACTGGATGACTGACTGAATAAACACATCTAAGAATTTGAACCCACGTCTTAATTTTTTTATCTTAAATGACAAAGGCTAATGATTGAGTCTGGTTTTTATTTGTTATCACCAAAGCCTACTATGGCTAGCTTATAGGAAATAATATATATTTATTGAACTTAATTTAACTGTATTTTTCTAAGGTGTTGAGGACTGGTAATTTATAAACACTAAATTTTCTAGAAGTAGATATAAACACTTTTATTTCTAATAGCTACTTTGATTTGAAGCAATGAGGGCTTAAACATTAAAGATGTGAATTATATTCTATATGGACTATCTTCGATAGTCCACATAGAGACTCCCCTTGAGATCCAAGTGTAAGTGGCAGATAGCTGGTAAACACTAGAGGAATCATGAACAGTTTTGACATCATTTTACTCTCTCTGGGTGCAAGCAAATTTAATTGAATAAAATATATTTTATTCAAAATATATGTACTAAGAGCCTTCCAGTTTTAAGACATATTGGGAGATACAAGAGTGTAAATGACAAAGTCTCTGACTGTAAAAAGCATATGAGTTAGCAGAATAGAAAAAATGAGTAAGTTTTAAGCCAGTGTATACTAAGTGCCTTAAGAATAAAATATCAGAGGCCTATATTGTCAGGACTCAAGAACACACAAGTAAGAGGCAGATCCAAAGTAGAGCAAAGGAAAAGACTCAGAAATATTAGAATGGGGCTGGAAAAATGAACCTAGCTAAAGAGCAGTTATTAGTGTTCAATGGTATAGCAAGTTCAGATGTAACCCTAGCAGAGATTTTAGTTTGGAGACTATAGTTCAACCAATATGGCATAGTAATAATGGCGTTAATAAAACAATAACAGCTAATAGTTTTGAGCATTTACTATGTGGCAGGCAATGCTCCAGAGATTAACGAATTTCATCTTCACAACAGTCCTTCAGACTAGATATTAGCTCTATGTCAATTTCCACACAAGAAATGTAAGGATTAAAACATTTAATAACTTTTCAATGGTCATACAGGTAGCAAATGGAGGAATAAGTGATAGCTGGAGACTAGAAATTAAGTAATAGTTAAAGTTAAGTGGAAAATAATTCTGTCAGATCATTCATTTCACAGAAGAGCAATGAGATAGCCAAAAAAATACACTTAGCATCTCACAGTGAGACCAAGGGACTGGCATCATCTAGATGAGTTCTACAGACTCCAAACACAGTGCGGGAATGTGAACCCAGCAGGAAACTAAAATTCTAAGCAGTAAAACTGAGGCAGAGAAGTGTTACATATAAACAGAGACACCATAGGGGAAGAAGTGATGGGGAGACGGGAAAGGCTGAGACTTAGAAACTCTCCCCAGACTACTGGATTTCCACTGATGAGAGAAGAACTGAGCTTAGACTGAGGAAATAGTGGACTTGAGGCTCTTGTCATTCTTCCTTCCTGAAAGTACCAGGAGGACTGGGCACGGAGATAGGGAATACCTGTAACTCCAAAAGAGATGGCCCAACTCCAAAATCTAAAAGTGGACAAATATTGACATATAAGAGGACTTCATGGAGAAGATAAGAATTGATTTGAGTCTTCAAGGAAGAGGAAGACTTACAAAGACTGGTTAAAAGATTTCTGATGAAGCAAAGATGCAGCAGGAAAATAGCGAGTATTAGGTTCTAACTGAGATCCAAGGGGAGTTTGTGGATGAGTGGAGGATAGCTGGAAAAATACTAGAGGAATTGTAGACAGTTTCAGCATGACTTTACTCTCTCTCTGGGCACAAACAAGCCTGAGCATGAGTGAGCCTGGACAAGAGCCTGGGCACAAGCCATTATTTGTATCATCAGCAGGATAATTATACCTTTTGCAGACAACAGTGGCTCCAAGCCAAGAACAAGCTCACATAGGTGATGATCTAATGTGCCTCTGGTGGCAGAGTTGTGTGCCTGCAGTCCAAACTCACTGAGTCATGCAGAACCAGATGTCTGCCTCAGCCTATTCTTGACTGCAGCACATCCATTTTCCTAATACTTCACCCCATAGGCCAAGGGAGACAGAGGCCTTGGACACACAGGTCTAACACACAGTTCCAATACATAGGCCTTACATCCCACCCCCTAGGCTGAGGTAATTTTTCTAGTGGGGAGATGTGCCAATGTGTAGAACCCTGGACTCAGAGGCCACAACAGTAATACAGGGAGCAACAACTCCAGGTTATGGCAGGCGACTACCCCAAGGTGATGTTACCCCAGTGTTGCTTTATCCATTAACCCAGGTTTTTATTTCCTTCCCTTTAGGGGTATGGGGTGGGCAACAACCGATTACTGTTCATCCCCTCACCTGGCCAGAGAAGGTCATCCGTCCTCCTATAGGTCTTGACACATGGCCTGGCTCCACATAGGTCAGTGACTAGCCACTTCTGTAACTTCCAGGTAATTAACCACAAGGGTACGCCTCAATAAACTGCCTAGCTATTGATACAGATTACCACAGATGTCATCTTCTTGGTGATCACTATTCACACTGCTCTGGGTTCAGTCCATTGACTACTTTGTCCACGCCCATTTCAAACCATAGGGTATCTGTACAGGTCGGATTGCAACAGTGGTCCAAGCAGCAGTAGCACCTCAGCGAGGCCCATTTGTGTACCATGCCCCATCAGGAATGGGGGAATACCCTCACTTAAATGGTGAAGGCTCAGGATCAAAACGTGCCTCAGGCCCCGTGGCCTTATTTTATATTAGGACTATAGGTCCCAGGACCTGTTGAAACTCTGCTGCTAAAAGATTCATACTCAGAGTACTCCCCTGCTCTAAGTAGGTGCCCTACTTTGGCAAACTAGATGTCTGGGCTGTCCCAGTCTGGTTTGTTGTTACCCATGAACACACCCATCCAGCTGTCAGGTAAGTCATCCGCACGACTGCAGCCAGTCCTGTCACACTCTCACAAGCCTGAAGGGTAGCATAACCAGCTGCTAGATATCTCTCTATCAAGAAATAACAGAGCTCGACTCCTTTCCACAGTTGGGACCAAAAGCCTACTGGTACTCTCAAATGCTCCATGTGCGGTCACAGGCCCTGACTGAAACCATCTGTGGTCACATGTACATCCGACACAAATGGGCACCCCTGATTAATTACCCACAGGGCTTGTGCCTGTTGAATAGCCCGTGTGGTTGTCAGAAAGGTGGTCTCAGTTGCACCATTAGCAGGGTAGTTATACCCTTTATAGACAATGGTGGCTCCAAGTCAAGCATGGGCTCACATGGGTGATCACCTAATGTGCCACTCATGGCATGATTACATAATGAGTGTGTGCCTGTGCTCCAAACTCACTGAGTCTTGCTGGACTAGATGTCTCCCTCAGTCTATTCTTGACCACAGCACATCCATTTTTCTTACAGGGATTATCCAGTTTTACTGAGACTGTTTATTTAGGAAAGTAGACAAAGAAAGTAGGGGGGAAAAAAGACGTCCAATTGGTGACTCCAAAGAGTATCTGATAGGATGTAAGGAGCCATATTTAGTCCTGAGACAGTGGGCAATTATTTTCCTCTACTTCTAACTGTCCAAGATTGAAAAATCAGTTGAGTATCAATAATTATACAGTATATATTATTCCAGCCCCTTTGATCCCTCCATTATTTCTATTTCTCACTGATTTGGGCCATTCATTATTGAATTAGTTCCTTTTCTAGGAGATGTATTAGGCAGCACTCAGTCCATCAGTTCAGCTATTTATTAGCAATTCTGCCATTTGAAACTATAGGTTAAAATGAAATTTGGAGATTACTTCCGGATCCCATTTCTCTTCCCTATTTCTGCCCTTCAATAACATAGAATTAGTCATAAGCCATTAATCTCTTCAGACATGTTAGGATAATTCAAATATTTATTTGTAAAGAAAAATAACCTCATATTCCCATAAATGTCACACAGAAAGTCTCTCAGCATGCAGCCTCAATCCAGAACAAAGGTTTCTGACAACATAAATGTCCTTCACAGACAAACATATACATAGAAGTATTTCCATCCCCTGCTAGTTTCAGATACCTGATGAAACTCTTATCATACTCTTCCTATTTTCCTGTATCTTTCTCTGGCCTATCATTTTCATTTCTACTTCCATAGCCATGACCACCACCTTGTCCTCCTTCCCCTTTCATCACATATACCAGCTCAGTCACAATTCTTCCTTTTATACACACACCCCAATTTTTTCCATTACACTTGGACTATAATATGTAAATATTATAAAAGCTTTTTTCTCAAATTTAAAATGTGTGAAGGCTTATCGTTACTAGTATTAGTAATGGTCTCACAAATTTTGTTAAAATGGTTGAAGGGAAGGCAATAAATGGAGCAAGGAGAATAGTGTGCATTTGCATATGAAGCTGGATAAAAGTTTAAATGTGATAGTTAAGCTTAATCCACAAGAGACCATGCCTTTGAAGAAACTATCTTAAAATAGCTGAAATGGGAAAGAGCAGCTAGATGTGGTTAATGATGCCAGGATCTTCTTTGCTGTTACCCTGCCTCTTCTTTAGCTTTCAGTCCTCACTTACTCAACAGCAGATATACCTGCTATCAATCTTCACACTCCTTAGTACAAGTAAATGGTCTATGCAAAACATTTGTTCTAGGCAACACATAGAATTTGTAACATCAAGTAGAAATTTTTGAAGTCAGACAAAAAAAATATTCCACTTGATGACATTATACTTTCTAAGAAGCTTTATCTAACCTCCAGTTGGCTGTGACTTCTAATTCTTCATTATTAAGTTTGTCTACTCCCTTATCTCCATTGTTAAATATTTGCTAATATGCATTCAAACAGTTACAAATGCTGGAATGATCTGACCAGCAGCAAGTTTTTCCAATATATTAATCATATTTTTCAGTGCTTCATTTACAAGCACTCATTTAGTTCTCATAACAGTTCTGTAAAGTGGATATTACTATCCTAAACTTATAAATAATAAAACCATGTCAAGGAGCTACTAGTTCATACTACTACAAGTGGATGAAAGATCAAATAAAGCTGTCTACCAATTCATTTTAATGCACTGCCTTTCACAAACAAAAAGAAGCCTTTCATAATGGGACTAAGTAATTACATTTTACTATAAAGACTTCAATGTTCACATTATTGCTTTATATAAATAAAATTATAATGCCCTGCAGAGCACTTTCTAATTCTTTAAACACACTCAAATTGTATGTCTATTCTCAAAGAATTTGAGAGAGGAGCAGCACAGGAATTAATCACATTTTACAGACAAGAAAACTGAGTTCACGTGAAAGGTAGGCCTGCTCAAGGCTGTATAGTCATTATGCAGTGGCACCAGAACTAACCCTCCATTTTCCCAGCTGACTTTTTCCACTGTGTTTGAAGCAGTAAAATTTGAGTGCTGAGCTGAATTGTGTTTCAAATTCTGTCTGAAATGTACTAATACATACAGAAAAATATTCATATAGTCCCAGAGAGAGCTGGGGCAGGGAAGAAAAGCTAATGGATATATGCTGATTGTTGGGGAAGGTGTGTCAAGATCCTCATGGGAAGGCAGGTAGGCAAAGGAGGAAAAGATTCAAGGTGATCTTCGGGAGCCAGAAACTGGTTCTTGCTTCCTGCAGGTGGTGCGCCTTAACTCAAAGGGGATGAAAAAGGCAAGAAGTACTTATTCAATTAAGTGTCAATGTGATTAATATAGCTGCCAAAGTTCATGAAACATTTCTGTATTTGTTTGTAACAAACAAATCCCAGAAGAAATAATGTCCCAACACAAAAGAAAGTTACATTTTTCCCAAGCAGATTCCACTTGGGTATTTTTAAGGGAGAAATAGAAATCATTCAGTCATAATCCAAAGAGACCAGGTGCTTTCCATCTATGGCTCTGCCATCTTCCACATGTGATTTCCAAGGCTGCCTGCTTGTCAGCAGTTCAGACGGAAAAAAAAAAAAAAAGAGCAAAGAAACCAGGGGAAGGTTTACATGACACGTAGTCCACTCATATCCCACTGGCAGAATTAGTCACATGGCCACATCTCTTTGTAAAGGAGCCAAGGAACCTATGACCTTGCCACGTGCACTCAAGAGGAGGAGAAACCAGATTTAATGAAGATCTAACACTCTCCCACAGCTCTACTCATAGGGCTCTTTTTTAAACTAAAATTTGCAGGTGTGTTTCCTTAAAATCTACTCCATACCTAATGAGATTCTCCTGACAGGCTTATAAAAAAATACATTTATTTTTACCATTGTGTCAGAAGTCCTATATCACCAGTCCTAGGGGCCAAAAAGAATAAAAACCATTCAATTCCATTTCAAAAATGATAATTGCTATGATTGCTTTATATATGGCCAAACTCAGCTGCTAGGTAATATTTTAATTCAGCATGAAAACAGAAATAAGCAAAACCTTGAGCTTGAGAGGATGGACATAGAAGATAAAGATCCAGGTCTGAATCCTGACTGTCTTTTGGTAGTGATAGCTAATGTTTAATAAGTGCTTTCCAAGGGCCAAAACTCAGTGTTTACACTTCACCTGCACTGTCATAGTTAGCCTTCACAAATTCACTTTGAGGCTTAAAGTTTGTTTCACTTCCAAGAACACAAGAGGTGACAGAAGTAGGCTCAGACCCGGTCTGATATTCCAGTGCTCTGCTGTGTCTGGCACTGACTGAATCTCTCTGAACACTGGCTACTGCATTTGTAAAACATGAATAATAATAACTTTCAGATTTGTTGCAAGCAGTAAATGACAGCATGAATGAAATGTAACACAGTGCCAGGCACATAGTGAAGTACTACTCAATTTATTATACTTATTATTAAACACATTAAATATATCTTCTCAGTATGAGCTTCAGTCTACCATAGTTTACCTTCAAAAAATACATCTGAGAAGAATAAAAATATTATTTGCCACACATCTATTTTGGACACATATCTCCAGAAATTTACCAAGGGGCAGTTTTGCTAGTGATTAATAAGGATTTATATAGCCTCTGCTGGGGCAGAATATAATACAAAATAAATATGATTTGTAAAGCAGCAAAAAAGGAATGAAATATAATGGAAAATTCATGATGCATTCAATCTATCAATCTGTAAGGTGGCAGACAAGAAGGATAAATATTCTCATTATGATTTTAGCATGCCCCACTTAGATCTATATGAAATCTATTGTGAACATTCTCCTCACCATTTAGATGTTCCTTAGCCAGATTTTACATGAGAACATTTCCCATATTTAGAGGTTTCACTCTCCTGGGACATTTTGTAGGCAGCAGTGTGGCAGCACAGTTACTGGCCCTGGTTGAATAACAAGGAGAGATGGGTTGAATAACAAGGAGGAAGGGGCCATGTATTTATTTCTTTGGGATGCTCCGTGCCCACCATAGGAATGGACTGAGAACAGTGATTCAGGAACTAGTGATTGAGTGATTTCACATACATCATACATCCACAGTCATTTCCCCACTTCAGCTCACTCCTCTGCTCCCAGAAAGAACAGAAAATGGAGCTATACTGGAAGATGTCAAATCCACACATGGCTCAGCAAGTAAAATGCATGGATGCTTTTGAGCAAAGTCAAGGAGAACAGAATGGCATATTCACAGGATTGTGAGGAAGAAAATCTGACAGGGACAGAAGTCCCTTTGGAGGATGTGAGATTTAAAGCTGAATTAACTGTGAGGGCCATATAGTGACAGCACTTGGAAGTCAAATAAAAGCCATATTCTACTCCTTAATACATTATCTCACTTAACTTCTTTAATCTTCACAAGTTTCCTGTAAAGCAGATGCCATTTCCTCATGCTCCAAATGCAGAAACTGACACTCAGACAAGTTAATGACATGCCAAAGTTCACATACTTTATGAACATCAAAGCTCAAATCATTTTTACCCTGAATCAAGTCTCCTGGTACAGTAGATATTGGGATACAATGGAAGGTTTTTGAACTAGTACTGACTTGATGAAAAGAGATACTTGCATAATGAAAATAAAATTTAAGTTTTAAACCCAAGTAAATATTTTTAATTGGCAGATAAAAATGA